TTTTTCTGTGCTTAGTAGGCAAAAAGATACTTCCAAAATTTTGGAAAACAACTTTAAAAATTTTTAATGTTTTTCTGCATTCAAGAATGCAGGAAACTTTAGTTTGAAAGCACTTTACACATATTGAGTTAGCATTGAAATATTAGTTCAGTTTGTTGCATTCCAGCATTTGGCAGAAATAGAATTTTTGAGGCATGTGGCTACTTTGGGAGAAACTGGTTGTAGAGAAACAATAGCGATATTCAAATCCAGAGTACCAGGCCCAAGAGAAATCCTTGTAGGTCCTGTGACTTGACATCCTAACTCAAGAGCAAGCAACTCTATTGGTTGTTCGAATTAAATGAAAATAAAGGTTTTAAAGCTTACATCTTTCAAAAGTACATTCTAAAGAGTTTTGTTGATTTGTTTATTGCATTTATGAAACATGCAAATTACTTAAGTCACTTATGACTTACTAACAGACCCTGACATTTCAGAGCGTCTTTATGTGCAAAGTGAGTTAATTTGCTTTATTTTTTGTTATGGGAATCAATTTTAATTGAGGACTGAACTGTGTCAACAAACAAAATGCATTACATAAAAACACCTCTCTTTCCATACTAGCTCAGGAGTGCTCTCCTGGGGGACATCAGTTTCTTCAGAGTCCTTATAGAAGTGTCCATTTTGACTCGTGGCACCTCCAGCAGTCAGCTGTTCAAGACCTAATATGTGACCATTCCCTCTCCCCCGGATGGTATAGATTTCTCATCTTGGACAGACCTGCTGAGATGCCAACCAAATGTGTTGAGGTATGTCAACTCCCTAAGTACTACATATGATTTTCCTTATGTGTTTTTCATATGAGATTTGTATCTTCTTACAGCCAGCTTATTTCTCATGCTAAAATATTGTTTTAATTTTGTATAAGATTGAGTTGATCTGAAAGACTATTCCCACATTACCTAGTCTAATAATAATAGTAATAGTTAACGTTATGTTCCATGCAGTCCAGAAACACTTTTACCGACATTATCTTGTATGAGTTTACAACTCTAGGATACAATGTATCATCATTATTTCCATCAAACAGTGCAGAAAACATATGTTCTTAGGCATAGTGCTCCTACAGTCACAGCTAGCAGGTCAAAAGGCTGAGTTTTGAATACAGGCAGTTGTTCTCTAGGGCTCAGGTGTATTACCTGCAAACAGTAAAATACTGTTTATCTAAAGTGCTTCAGTTTTGTCAGTTGTTGCCTCTCACTCCCTTTCTTAACTGATGGAGTAAAACTTACAGGCTCGGCACCTCCTATTCTAAGACTAAGAAGAACTCAGTCTGGCAGTGAAATCTCCAGGTATTTCCTGATCACAGTTGGAAGACAGTATACCTGTAGCATATTCCATACTCTGGAGGCATATGGCCTTATCTCACTTAAGCTCCCTCTTCAAACCCAAAATTTGGGCAGCCAACATACCCTTTTTTTCTTTATAGTTGTGAACATGTAAGCATATGTCTTTCAAACACATCAGGTTTAAATGGACAAAATTAAAAAGGTTTTATACATGAACTCACATCGGATGTGTTTTATTTGCAACTTAACTTTTCATAAACTTTACTTTTTTTACAACATGATATGATTCTGATCATAGCATTGTCCTGTATAGCATTGCATAGCATTGACTTGTCTAGTCCAGGTGACTTCTTTCATTCTTATTTCATTTGACAAATACATTTTCTTCCAAAATGCTTCAAAAAATAAGCAGAAGAATAAACATAAAGTGTGATTTCTTGGGTAATCCCTCAGCTAACTTGTATTACTTATCCAAGCCATTCTGAATTTCTATTGACAATTCTACTTATCCTTAGCATGATTTTCAAATGCAAGTTCCCCTAATTCATTTGTAGTCCCCATTCATCTGATGATACTGTCATGAAATAGACATTATTTCTACTTATCATATTCTGACCAGTTATCCTTTCAGTTCAACTCTTATTATTGCGACCACATTTTTATCCACATCATCTAAAGAATGAGACTAATTCTAAATCTGTCAAAACACTAAGCCCATTAACTCAGCATCCTAACTTATATGATCAAAGTGGAAGAAGGATTTTAATCTGACATTTATTTTGCAACTTATAAATTCCCTGCACTTGTGGACATTATTGCATATGTAAACTCACTAGTTCTCTCAGTGATGCTTTGAGGTAGCTAGTGTTACCTCATTATAAAGATGTGGACACAGACACTAAGCATGAGTCACATGACCAAAGCCATGTACCTGATCTGCTCCCTTATCACAGTCTTTCTCAGCTGACTGGTTTCCCAAGTGAATTCTGCATAAATAGGTGTTCAGTTGTGATAGGTAGCTAATAAAGGCATGATATTATTGAAGACATATGTCTGTGTAATGCTTCTCAAATTACTAAAGGGTTCATCATCACTCACAATTTTACCCTATATAATTATACACTTATTGGGTGTGATTTCATTCTTAAAGGTGACTTTCTTTTAACTTAGAGGTCATGCAGCTACTATTGGCCCCTGCAGAGAGATCGCATCACATAAGATTTTGTCTTAGCAAAAGGCTTGTTTTCCTTATTGTTATTCACATTTTATAAATACTGCAGAAGCAGGAATCACTTTCCTTTTTAAGCACTAATGTAAAAAGATCTCTGGAAAGACATTGAAATTTTAACAGTGTTTAATTTTAAAGCGTGGCATTGTGGTTAAGTCTCATTATCCCTTTTTTGTTTATTTGCTCATTAGTCGCTTTTGTGACACTTCATTTGTAAGGGACTAAAAAACAATTAGAATTTAAAAGTAAAGTTTGAGAAAATTGGAGGAACTTCACCACATTTAAAAATATTTGTGTTTTTTTCTTAAGGTTGATTTAGCTACAATTGTTTCTAGAACCTCACACAAATGTAAAGGTGAACCAGTTTCCCTGGCTGTTTTCCTGGAGATCAGTTAAACTGAGCAGGCTGTGCTCCATGAGGAAGTGCTCTCTATCCCCACCCTCTCATTCCCTTTTTGTGCTAAGACTTTAAAGCATTCGACCGGAAACTCAATGATTTTTTTTTCTCTACAGGTTAATACATGTCAACTTACATAAATTACTATTTGTAATGTTTTAAATAATAAATGTGCATTACATAAAGCTTAGGAAATAAAGAACAGGAGTGAAACAACATTTCTTCATAATCTATCCACACAGTCATAGCTACCGTTATTAACATTTTACTATTGTTTTATCTTATTTATATTGTTTTGTAATGTTCATGTTATATGTTCAATTGAAAAACATGCTATTCTTTTTCAGTTACAGTTATAGTATTATCATTTTCCTGTTATTATAAATTCATTTTTATAATTTTGAAAATAATATTATGCCATACATGTATCATATTTATTTAAACCATCACCATATGTGTGGACGTTCAGGATTTTGCTATAATAAGTAATTCTGCAATTAGCAAATGCACATGTAATCATTTTAATTTTAGTGTCTTTAGTAAGATTGATTTTTATAAGTTGATTAGTAATGGTTAAAGTCTTTTTGAGGCTTTTGATACATATAATTGTTCATTTAAAACATAGTGATAATTTTTAGTTTCAATAGCAGTACATGAAAATACCTTTTGCAATACTGAATATTCTCATGTATGTATTAGGCATTTGTGTTTCTTTTGTGAATTACCTGTTTGTACATTTTGTCCATTTGTAGTCTTAGAGTTTTAAATGGATAATATTACAAGGTTAAAATAAAATAGCAAATATAGTATGATTATAAATAAACATAACAAAATATAGTACTACTTACATATAATTTTATTATTTAATTTTAATCTTATATTTTTAAAATTATAATTCATTCATATATATCAATATTTCCTTTATGTTTTTCCTTTGCTTTTAAGCATAGAAATAATAATAAGAATTATAACCTGGCTAACGATTTTTGAGCCATTGCTGTGTAGAAGCTGTATTATATATATTACTTTATCCATACCTCATTATGATACTTTGAGGTGGGTACTACTTCCACCTAATATAAAAGAGAAGGATGTTGAGTGCCTTGTCCAAGATCATGCATTTAGTAAGGGTCCTGGCTCTTCCTGAGTCGTGCATAGTTTCTTCTTATTTTTCCTGGGTTATTTTGCTATTTAATTCTATTTTTCATCTGAAAAATGATTTTGATGACTTCAAGTGAGGTTGAAACGTTATTATTTATTTATTTGTTTTGAGATGGAGTCTCGCTCTGTCACCCAGGCTGGAGTGCAGTGATGCGATCTTGGCTCACGGTAGACTCCATCTCCCTGGTTTAAGCAATTCCCCTGCCTCAGCCTCCAGAGTAGCTGGGGTTACAGGTGCACTTCACCACACCCGGCTAATATTTTTTGTATTTTTGGTAGAGACGGGGTTTCACCATGTTAGCCAGGATGGTCACGATCTCCTGACCTCAGGCAGTCTGCCCACCTCGGCGTCCAAAAGTGCTGGGATTACAGGCGTGAGCTATTGCTCCCTGCCAAATTTATTATTTCTAAACTACTAAACAATTTTCCATCACCAGATTTTGAGTAATACCTTCCTTCTCGCTGATTTTATTGCCTCCTGAACTATGTATTAACTTCTTGTACATACTATTTCAAGCAGTTTTCCAAGAGCTTTCCAAGATCAGTTTATCTTTGTGTTATGTGTTAAGATAACTTTAGATTAACTTGTCTTATTTTAGAATTTATCAGCTATTTTAGTAAGGTATCTGAGATTTAATTTCCCTTGTTTACAATACAAGTGTAATGCATGGAATAAATTTATTAATATTTACAATGAATTTGTGAATGAGTATATTAACTATGAGATTTCTACCCTTAAATTTAGTATTCCTTAAAACTACATTTTATTGTATAGAACAGGTGCAAGTTATAATTTTTTAATGATTAATAATATTTTAAGGGTTGTTTAGAAGAAAATGCAAAGTTGATATATCTACAATGGATGAAAATAAATTGAATTTTCAACTTTTGTTTTCTGTGCTGCAAAAGATGAACCACTGTGGAACTCAGGCCCCCATCTGGCTGTCTCTGAGCGATTCAGAAACACTGCCATCTCCTGGGGAGATCAAGCAATTGACAGCTTGTGCAACATGGCAGTTTTTGTTTAGCACTACAAAAGACTGCTGTCTCTTTCAAATCCCAGTGTCTGTAAGAAACTGTGGAAACTTTTTTGTATACTTACTACAGCCAACTCAGGGATGTATGGGCTATTGTGCGGAAGGTAAGAAAACATCAGTAATTCACATGACCGTTACTCATGGAACCCTGCCATTTGTACCATTCTCTGGATAGGTTGCACGGAGTCAGTGCAAATCTCAGTAAGACTCGTTCTATCATTATTGTTAGATTGAAGCTAAATTTCTGTTTACGTTGGTCAGATTTCTTTAGGATTCTTTGCCAAGATTGCAAAGTACCCCCAAACATTTGATGTGAAAGCATCAAAGCAGACATCTCACATTTTTTCCCCTGGACATAATGATCTAGTGTGTTAAAAATTCTTTGGTTTCCTCAAGTCCATTCCTCTTTTAATTAAAGGATGAAGAAGGGTGAGTAAAAGTTATCATAAAAATATACATTTTATATTATTTCATCTTTCATTCACCAATATTTATTGAATGTTTATCCTGTGCCAGAAATTATTTAAGGCCTCAAGAGTTACAGTGATGAGCAAGATAAATGAGATCTCTGCCTTCATGAAACTTGCATTCTAGTGGAATGCTTCAGACAATATCTAAGAAGAAACAGAATATTATTTAAAGATTAAAGTAAATATCCCTAAGTCCTTACTATATAAATATACGAGTAGATAATTAAATGGAAGCAAGGAAACAAAGCTTCTTTAAAGAATTACAAATATTTGTTGCTACTACTTCACCTAAAAGATTTTGAATAACTTCCCTCATTTTGCTTGTTGGCTGCATTTGAGTTGTTTCCAAATAATTGGGTATGACAAGGAAAAAAAAATCTACCAGTTTTACAGTGGAGAAACCTGGCAGACATTACATTAATCAAGTGATTGCAGTTAATTTTACTAGTGATAACACATGTTGATGTCACATGTCTCCTGATAACATGTAATAATAAGAGCACTTCTGTTTTCTAGTACTCTTCCCCCAAAAGCATAATCCTAGTCCAATCATGACAAAGTTTATATAAACCCAAATTAAATAACACACTAACAAAATACCTGAATAGTACTTTTCAAAAACGTCAAAATTATGAAGAACCAGGAAAGAATAGAAAACAGTCACAGATTAGAAAATGATGAATAACGCAATGGGATATCCTGATTGGGAAAACTGAAAAATTCAGATTGGTAAAATCTGACTACAGCCTTCAGTTTATTTGAGAGTGCAGTCCTAAGGTAAATTTCCTAGTTTTGACAAATATATCATGGCTTTGCAATATGTTAACATTTGTGGAAGATGGATAAGTGCAAATTCTCTATTATTTTTGCAACCTTTATGTGAATCTAAAATCATTCTAAACTAAGATGCTAATATTTGAGAAATTAATATACCACAAATTAAAGAAAATTGGTCAATACAATAGGAATGAACTGGCACAAAGATGCTGTCTTACAAAGGGCACCTGAGGAGTTCTCTTTGAATAAGTGACAAATTTGAGTTGAGCACTGAATGTGGAGAATGAGGCAGTCATGAAAATATTGGGGAAAAAGAGCTCCAGCAGAAGAATAGACAATGCAGATGTCCTTAAATACGTATGAAGAAGGCAGTTCAAGGAGCTGAAGGAGAAACAATGTGGTGGGAACAGAGAAAATGAATAAATCTTGGGGGATGAGGTTAGAGAAGTAAGAAAAGGTCAGCATCTGTAGGGTCTGAAGTTCCTGGTAAGAACTTAGCTTCAGTCTTTAAAAATCCTATAAGATTTTTAAAGAGATGAATAATATGATCTAAGGAGTGTATTTGAAAGGTCATTATCCCTACAGCAAGACTCCAGAGACTGTTGCATTAATTCAATAGAGAGATGGTAGTGGCTTAAAGGAGAGAGGAGTGGAAATGACTAGGACTAGTGGCAAAGAAAAGAGGATATTAAGCTAAGATGTCTTTGGAAACAGAGCTCATGCAATGGATATGAGAAAGATGCAAAGAGAGAAATCAAGGACAAAATCTACGGTTTTTGCTTGAGCAACTAAAGAGGGAGAGACTAGGGTACAAACACATCAGGTTGGGAAGAGAAATCAAGAATTCTGTTTTGGGCTGTTATCTAAGAAGGGACATGACATATAGATATACACTACATCTCAGACTCATAAGCTTGACACTAGTGGTGTTGACTAAGGATGTTGTGGCATGAGAGTCCTGGCTGAGAGCTCCCATAACCCACCATTCTAGAGCTCACCATAGATAGTTGGACCTAATAATTTTTTTTCTTTTTCTCTGTGCTCCACTATGACTATGAACTCTTTGAAAATAAAGTGCCCTTTACATCAGTGTCTCATGTCCTAGTGTCCTGAACATAATAGAGATTCAACAAATGCATATTCACTAGCAATGTTTAATGGAACTAGTGGCCCAATTCCTAAGATACAAAAAGCTCTAAACAGAAAGAAACTACAGAGTGGCAATTTTTACTTGGACTGTTTAGACAATGGTGAAGCTGATAAATGAGGGATTTATTCTATAGATAGGTGAGTGTGCTCATATATAACCAGTTATAGGAGTAAAACGAACCCCAATTTAGTTACCTGGGTTCAGTCATATATAGAAAGAACACTGAAAGTTCTGGGAGACACTGTTGTAGACAGTGTTATCAAAGCAGATGAACACTTGATTCAGCAACAATGATGATTATATGGGTAACACGCATGAACATTTTACTACTGAGGTTGTTAGACTCCCCAAGCTAGCCAACCCCAAATAACACAATTATAGCATAACAAGTAAAATCACTTAGTTGGTTATTATAGTAGTTAAAAGGAAACATAGTTTTAGGTTTAAATAACCCAATATATTTATAAATGTGGGTGTGTATATATACACATATATATACACATAAATATTTATATAAACACATATATATACACACATATGTATAAAATATCCAATCTAAAAAATTATTTTGCTCATCATAGTTTTGGAATTGAAACCAGTATTATTAGAAAAATTGATTCCGTTAAGTTTCTAGCATTCTTATTCTCAGAAATCTGTCCCTTAATGTCAGCAAAAATAATAATACAATAAGTTTTCTCCTATGGTTAATTATTTCTTTGAGTTGAAAATATTAAAATAAAAAATTTAATATTTTGATGAGTTTGTAATGCAGTCTTTTTTCTTAAAAACAATGACACCTACTCCAATTTCACGTTCTGTTTTTAACTACTGTTTTATTTCCAAATGACCTCTAAAGTTGATGTAAATATATCGTTATTGGCCATAATCCCTAAGCAAATAATGCATTATTGCCTACTTCACATGATAATAGAAACTAAGAAAGATAATGTTCTCAACATATAATTTTATTTCACTGTTCTGAAATACATGCTACATTTATAGAAAATTGAATTGTTTAGATTTACTTTATCATTAATTGCAAGGCAGTAGTTCTATCTTTAAAAAAGAAGGCAAAGTTATTGTTTATTATTATAATAAGATCAAAATAATAAACTTATAAAATGTATTAATTCAAATAGGTATTTATTGGCGGTATTCCACAAGTATAATAATAACACACTAATTATTTCACACATATGTACTGCTGGAGTCATGCTTATTTTCTAACCAACACAGCATCTCCTTAGTATAGAGGGGTGACCAAAACAAATGTGGTCCCTGCCCTCCTGGCACAGAGTATTTCTGCAATTATAAATTGCAACTGATGAATGAAAAGATTAAAAATTGCTGTAGAAGAGAATACTGAAGGTGAGAGAGGATGAAATACATAATGAAGAGTCGACCAGCGAAACGTCTAACAAAAGGGCATTGATGCTGAGAGCTGGAGGTTAAACTGTCCTTGGTCAGACAGAAAGCAAGGGGAAGAACAGCTCAAACAGCGGCTGCAACAAGCGACAGGCCTAAGGCAATAAGAGTATGTTGTACTCAGAAGAGTGAAAGCCGGACAGAAATATTAGATCTCAACGAGTGAGGGAGAACATAACAAGACGGGAGTTTGAAAGGGCAGCAAGGCCTGATCGTTTAGGGAGCTCTGCATTTTGTTCTGTGTGATTGAGAAGCCTATGGAGAATTATCCTGAGGGAGTGAGCTGGTAAACCTTCACATTCCGTACACAGCTGCTGTCCAGCTAAAACTGGCAGTCTGTTTACTAAGAAAGGGCAGCATCTGCTCAGTTTAGTACAGCTAGTGCCGTTCATTAGGAAGGACAAAATCCAGAGAGATGCATCAATCTCATTGGGTGGCCAAGATAAGAGTTTTTGAAAAATCTTAAGAATTTTTTTTGGCACTCTTGTCATAAAAAATATTTAATTTTTATAAATCTTCCTATAGTATTACCAAATATTTGTGGAAAATTCTGTGTTTCATGGAAAAACCATTGATTTATCTATATTAGTTTAAGAAACATTGACAACTATTAAAAAAGAAAACAAAACTTTCACACCAGGCAATACCATAAAATACAAATAATCACTTCATCAGAAATATTTTTTACACTGAATTTAAAAACGTAATATTAAAAATTTGTATTTTATGATATCCCTTCCAAATTTAAAATATTTTCTGTTTTGTTAATGTCACTACCATCCACTCAATTTCCTAACCCAGAACACTCAAAAGTACCTTATAATCTCCACATTCAAGTCCTCTAAGCATTTAGGGAGAAGGAATTCTGGGAGACAATTGTTATTTTATACTCTTAATGTCTGTTAACCAGACATATGCATGAATTATTCTTCCTGATATGCTGATAGAAGCTTGCCTTGGAATATCATTTAGAACTTAAATTAGACTGCATAGATAGCAAACAAAAATGACAGTCACTTAATCTACTTAAGAGTTTCTTTTTCTTGCTGAACAAATATCTGGAGCAGGTGTTCTCTGCCGATGGCGATTTGGCAACTTTACAATGTCAGGCTGAGGTCTCTGAAAGTCACTAATCTTTTCCTTCATGGTGACAGAATGAAGCTCAAGTTTTAGCTTCTTTATCTGCATTTAGACAGGATAAAAGAGAAAGTTCAAAAGGTGAAAGAGAGCTTCTGCTAACTGAAATTTACTCCCCTTTAAGGAGCTTATTTGGAAAAAGCCT